ATAGATGAACCCAGTGATGTGACTTTTTCTTTTATTTCAGTAATTTCCTTCATGGGTACATATGCTTTCCCAGCTCGTACTCTGAGCAAACATTCCTTTTCACAGTTACTCTTCTCCCAAAAAATCCATTAGATGCTTTTACATGATAAAGATTCAGTCTACATCTGGACTTTTATAAATCATACTCTCATGAATACACATAGTAAATTTTATCAGGAGATAAATTATGATGGCCAAGGAAGAATGTCATGCTTTGGGAAGAAAATTTAAAACTGAGGCTATGTCTTATACGAACATCAAGGGCCCCTGACACTTTTTTTTTTTAATAATGGATGTTTAGCCTTGCTTCTGTTCATTGCCAGAATTTTTTGCAACTAACCAGTAAACTAGATGCCAGTTTATTTCTCCAGAGATAATGATTACATTAGTCACTCAATAAATCTTATATTAATCTTGTTCCAAAGTTTTCTAAGGAACTCGTTAGATAATCTCTGGATTTAGTAAAATTAGTCATAAGGCCTAAAGGAATTCATCTTTGATGAACCAAAGGAAAAAAAGTTCAGTAGCATCAAACAGGCTGAAAAAATCTTAACCGAAAGGCTTCCCAAGTCTTAACAAGTATGAATTCAAAATACATTGAAAATTCCTACTACAAAGTAAATAACCTAAACCTATGTTTATAGCATCTTATGCTAAATGATCTGCAAATGCCAAGTTCTGGTGTAAACCAGTGATTTGGAACAGCAGAGTTCTAGGTCTAGCAGCCACTGGGGTGATTCCTCAAAAAGAAACAGTTTAATTAATGCACAGACCTGAACTAATGCTCTAAGGTGCCACTGACAAATCTCTATGCTGCTGGGAATAACATCTTTCAAGTAGGGGATGAAACTCCTCTTATTGACACACTGCATTCATCCTTTTCTCCCATCATCTTTGAATCACGTGGAAGAGATAAGCAGGGCCAAGTTGTTGAACATTCATCAGCTCCATCCCTGCCACCCCTCTCTATAGCTTACTTGTTCTGGAGAGCACAGACAGGAAAAGTATACAAGCTACTGTTAGACTCCAATTGTAATAGGGAAGAACAAATCTGACTCCATATTAGATCTGTTCTTTTAGCTCTAACCCTGTGCTCAGTTTACGTGCTGAGTCATACTGGTTCCGCACCTTCTATAAAACATTCTTGCCTCTACCCTGAAATAGACAGGATGGCCCATTCTCAAGACTCTGACCTTTAAGGGTTTAACACTTTTCCATTCATATAGAGATAAAAAGCTGCAGAACAGAGAATAACATTTGTCTTGTTGGAGGAACATCATGACCTGACCTACGTGGACAGATGCAAGAACAAAGGATTCCAACACCAAGAAGTTTGCAACAACTAACCACACCCCTTCCTCTTTTAGTATAAAAGGAGCCTGAATTCTGACTTGGGTAAGGTGGTTCTCCAGGGCATGAGTCTCTCATCTTCTTAGTCAGCTGGCTTTCTAAATAAAATCATTATTCCTTGCCCCAGCACCTTGTCTCCAAATTTATTGGCCAGTCCAGTGGCAAGCAGAACAAGTTTGGACTCAGTAACACAACCCTACAGAAATACACCATCCCCACCCCTACAACCAGTACCAGAAGATCCATCTAGCTCCATACACAAAGTAGGATTAGAATCAGTTCACCCACTGCATTCCCAGATCAGTTTTCTAGAACATACTTTTTTCATAAAATTTCAAAATGGCCTTAGAAGGAAGGTACTAATTATTTTCTTCCTTTAACTTCCGAGAAATGAAGGCTAAGCTTAATAAAAAACAAAACTTCGTTTCATAAATAAACAAGACTGGCCCTGTCCATAGTTTGTATATTTGCCTGCAGCAATTTTAGAACAAAAAGGTGCCATGGGAAATTACAGTGATATTAAAAGCAAGTCAAAGCAAGTATCAAAATACTCAATGCACTCAAAACAGTCATGTTACTAGTTAGCAGTACCAATGGAATTTAGAAAATCCTTGTAACTTTGAGCTTTCTTTTTATCAATGTGCCATGGAAGAGGAAGGTTTGTTTTCACTGAGATATATCCCCAAGAGAATTTTTTTTTACATTTTTATTGATTCATAATCATTTTACAGTGTTGTGTCAAAAGAGAATTTGTTTTATTTCTTTCTAGCAGTGGTAAATGACAGTCAAAATTTAAACCCTGCCTCCAAGGCCTCTTAACTGCCAGTATTCACTGGAATATAAAAGTCTCATTAAATAAAGTGTATAACAGTGAATAAAGTATATTCCAGCTGGCTTTAGTTGCCTTGAAAAAACAGCGAACTCCTTCATAAACTTATCCCTTCTGGCGAAAGGAGAGGTTATAGGCTATAGCAGACAATGCAGGTGGGCTCGTGTGGTCAAAGGAATTCTGCTCCATGCAGGAAACACTAAGGCCTGGATGTCCAGTTGTCCAGTGGCCCATCAGATCTCACCTATTCCACATAGTGTTTATAAAGTCTATATTCATCTTGAGAGGAGACACGAAAAAGAAAAAGAAGAGGGGGGGGAGAGGAGGGGAAAAGAAGAATCTTTTTAAGATTGATCCTTTTCAAGATTTGAGAGTTTGATAACTCAGGGCAACTTGCCCTCAGAGTAAAAATATCTTTGTATTTACGCTATGGGATAACACATTTAGATAATTAGGGAATGAGTTAAAGGCTAGGACCATGAAGTTTTTTCCATAGAAAAATAGTCTGTTTTTATAGCCCAGTTGCTGCCCTTTCTCATATCTTTTCAAGTGTTTTGCTTACAGTGAGTTTTCCCCAAAGAATTACTTATCTGAGCAAACCATCTGAATTCCATTAGTGAGGCCAGCCCCAACAAAGATCAGTTCTGGTATCATCTAGTTTCTATGAAGGAAAGGGAATAAAATTCACTGGGACCCAGAGAATCTTAATATGCATCCATTACATACTGTGAGGTCCACGAAGCCTAAACTATTTCCTAGCTGGCGTTTTAACAAAAAGTTTGACAAACAGTGTTCTATACTCCATCTATCTATATTTACTTTCCCAATTTTACTCTCATTTCCTATTGAAATAACACATTTCTAATGCCTAATTTATTATAAACCCTATGATCATTCATTATACTTTGAGTATTTGGCTTGAAAAAGCCTTTTAGTAAATTTTAATTCTTTTCATGGAAACCTGTATGAATTGCTACAGCTTTCATAACATAAGCATAGCTTTTTATCCTCTGCTTGTTTTACTTTTATTGGAGTTGCATTTCCAGGGTGAGGCCACATAAAATTGTGCAGGTTGTTCGCTGCACAAAAGGGCCTAGCAAAGGGGATGAGTTGAGGCTGCATGCAGCCCACACACCTTTGTTTCTAGCCATAAACCTTGACAGAAGGCTATGTCCTTCCATAAGAAAGGTCACCTTGATTCTAAATTGCGTGAAGGTCTCTTCTGCTCACTAAGCTTTGCACCCACATGGTCAATGGTACCATGTGTACCAAGGTGTCATCTGGTCCAGCAGAACCTGATGTTCCCCTGTTGTTTCTCAGCAGATCTCGGATGAGAACCCAGAAAATGCAGGTAAACTTCGTAACTAACATTCTGAATGTCCCAGCTCCTGCATAACCTAGCTCTGGTGTTACGCACAGATATTTAGCAATTTATAGTGATGAAGTGGGAGACAAGTTGAGAGAGAAGATAAAGGTGAGCTGATAAATAGGATGTATTTATCATTTACGTCATGGATGTGAGAAGGTTCTCAATAAGAAAGAAGAATAACGAACTTGTATAAATCACTTAACATCTTGACCCAATCTCTGTGTAGAATTTAGACATTTCTTGAGTTAAGTAATTATTTACTAAAAAGAAAAAGAGCACAGGAAAGAAATTAATTTCTTAAGGAAATGAGGAGTGGTGGTGGTGAAAAGAAATGAATCATGAGAGGTGTTGGAAAGGTAGGTAAAATAATGGTTAAAAGGAGGAAGCAAGGTTCTCACGGAAAATTAGGATGAGGAAAGATCAAAGATGAGAATTACAGGGGAAAAGATGATTAGACATGAAAGGAAGGGTCCAAGTATGGAGTGTGAGAAGCGGTTTTGAGATAAGGGATCTGAGTCACAGAGAAAAGAAAAATGAGAAGAGGAACCACAGCTGTGGCTTTGGCCTTCTCATTAACAAGCAATTAAAGGTCACTGACCTCCTTTGTCTTAATGCAATATGCAGTTTCCTAATAATATATAATGCATGACAGCAGAGTTGAAAGAATTCGTGCAGGGATCAGTGTTAGAACTTCAGTGAATTAAATATTTAAACATTCTGCAATAGGAAAAGAAGATAAAGGATAATGTATAAAGTTAGATTGGTATTTTGTATTTTTCTCAAAAAGTCTCTAACTTTACACATTTGGATTCTTTATTCAACCTAACTCTCTTGAAGTAAATATATTATAATTTTGATCATTCAAACTATTATATTAAACTTATTAAAAGGTTTTGAAAAATTTTTATGGCTTACCAGTCAGAAAGTAAAATATTTTACCAAAAACAAACAAACAAACAAAAGAATTAGCCCTCAACAACTCTACACTGAACGTTACAAAGTGATTATCTGAGTCACGTACTTAAGTCTGAAGTATTATCAAGTCCTAAAGTGACTAATAAATCAGCTGACTATTCTAAACCCCACGTTCATGTACCCAACCACGTTCAGAAAGTTTATGGGGGAAACAACACTTTTTAATCTGTTCCTAGATTTTATAAGGTGTGAACTGGGCCTCTCCTCAAGAAACCACCTTTCCATCATGGGAGGTCCATCACCTCACCATTGAGCTCATACCTTACTGCATGGGATCTGAACGGGGCAATGGCACACAAGACCAATTTCAGCACAATATCACATCCAAAAGAAAATTTGGATAAAAGTTATTTTGTTTTTCTTTTGTCTTAGTTTTCTTTTGTTACACAACAAATTACCACAAATTGAGCAGCTTAAAACAACTATTAATTCACTCACAGTTCTGTAGGTCTGGCATCCAGCATGGTGGGATGGGTCTTCCACTCAGGGTATCATGAGGCAGAAATGAAGGTGTCAGCTGAGCTGAGCTGAGTTTTCATCTGGAGGCTCTGAAAAAAAAAAATCCACTTCCAAGCTGATTGTATTGTTGGCAGAATTTATTCCTGCACTTTTTATGACTTAGATCCCTATTTCTTTTTTGGCTGCAAACTGAAGTGTTCGAAGTCCATGGAGGCCTCCCATTAGTTCCCTGACAAGTGACCCTCTCCATAACATGGCATTTGTTTCTTTAAGACCATCAGGAGTATGTTTCTGCTACTTTGAAACTCTGACTTCTGAAACCAGCTGGAGAAAATTCTCTGCTTTTAAATGGCTTCCCTGATTAGGCCAGGCCCACCCAAGATAATCTTCCCTTTGACTTACAGGGTAACATAATCATGGGAGTGGGTATCTCATCATATTCATAAGTTCCACCCACACCCCCAGGGGATAGTATTATCTAAGGGCAAGGGTCACTGGGAATTATCTTAGAAGTCTACTTGCCAGTTTTGTTTTAATCTTATTCACACTTATTCACACTATATTCACACTATACTGCCATGAAATGTGTACTCTCATAAGGCCAGAAACTACCCTCTCAACAACTTCTCAACACAACAATCCTCCAACAACCATGGTAGTTATCCTCCTGAAAAGCATAGTAGTTAGCAAGACAGAAGTTGGTACAATCTGGATCTTACAAAAGAAAGGAGACTAGGGGAGCAATGAAAAAGTCATTAAGTATATGATAGGGTCTGTGTATTCTTTGCTAAGGCCTTTGCTTCCTAAACAACCTTATTAGTTGATGTGAAATTGTTTGAAAGAACAATCGTCCTGACTCATCTTTGATTATTCAGGGAACATGCCTGCAGTCATCATGACTTGCTAAGACTTGTCAATTTTTATTTAATTTGCTTGTAAAGTTTCACTCTTTCATAAAGCTTTTTGGATCAGCTCTTGCAAGCTTGTAAATCTTGTATCTTTTGCACTTGCGGTTTCCTTCATTCGTGTTTCACAGGTTACAACAAAATGCTTGTGTTGCTCCCTAGCTTAACATCTTATTTTCTGGATCTGAACTTTTATCCATATCACTGCACTAACTGCAATGCCTGTATCTTCAATAAATACTTGTTCAAAGACTGACTGACTGACTGACTGACTGACTGAATGAATGACTATTGAGAGAGTACAGCAAAAAGAGATGTTTCTACTCTTTCCTAAATCTAACAGAAAGGGGGGAAATAATTATCACACTCTTTGTTTTAAGAAAGCTGGCCTAAACCATGTATACAAAAAAAATCATGAATTTTTAACTTGGGGCATATTGATAAAAATTTGTATTTCAGAACAGCATATTGCAGTGGCGGAACTTCTCAGGTATAAATGAAGAAGGGTAAGTGTGATGGTTAATTTTATGTGTCAACTTGGCGGGGCCACAGTGCCCAAATGTTTGGTCAAATGTAAGGATGTTTGCTGAGGTTAACATTTACACTGGTGAAGTAAAGAAGACTGCCCTCCATAACGCGGGTGGGCGTCATCCAATGAGATGAAGATCTGAATAAAACAGAACCTGACATCCTCTGCACAAGAGGGAATTCAGCTGGTAGACAGCCTTCAGACTTGAACTGCAACAGCCAGCCTCCATAATAAACAGCCAATTCCTTAAAATAAATCTCTCTATGTCTCTACTTGTCTCAACACACACACACACACACACACACACACACACACGTACACGTACACACACACACCCTAGTGGTTCTGTTTCTCCAGGGCATCCTGGCTAATACAGGTAGTCTCAGGGAGGCACATCCACACTCCCAAAGTGGGAGCCAGTTATGCTGGGAAACTTCTCTCCCTCACAGCAGCTGAGGCTTTGCTAGTGAGCCAGGGTCACCACCTGTGTTGGACTGTCCCTTTGTCAACTTGACATCACTGCCACCCTCTCCAATAATCTCATGCGTCACAGAAGAGAAACCAGGAACTGCATTTCCAGAATCCATTTCCTTGTGTGATTACTGGTTAGAGTCTACCAACAAGAGGCACTTGCATAAGATCTAGAAAGCAGAAGAAAAGGAGAGGCTGTTACCCCCTGGAGGCAGTTGCGGGCAATTGTAGACAGACACATGAGCTGGCCTGAGGATCAAAGTAACTTGAGCTTTGAGAGTCACGGAAATCCCTGCTGCAGGATGAGATCATCACTGCAGCTCTCCTGCCCTTTACTCCTCCAGGGCTTTCAACAGTTACAGAAGCTTCTCTTTCCCTGTAATGAAACCCTTCATAATCAGAATGCACACAATGCCTCTGTGTTCTGACCAGACCCAGACTGTACATCACTGATGCATTCTTTGGGAGAAAAGGAGGAGGAAATTCTTTATTCTTTCCTATTAATGGGCCTCAGTCGGTGCTACCCTAATCCATCAGAGGGGGTATAACTTTGAACTCTAAGAGAGATCATAATCCTCTTCCGCCCAGAAATTCCCATGGTTCCTATGAAAGTGTTTCAACTCTTTATCCTCCTGTCTGAGTCCAAAGGCTTGAGGTCACTGTGGGAAGCAGCACGACTCTCTATGGAGCAGAATGAGGTGATTCTCCTGGCAAGAATCTCTCTCATTAGGATATGTCCTTCCCTTGGAAGAGCAGGTTTCAACTTGTCTTACAGGGTCGCGATGGAGACATTAAAACAGTTCTTCCCAGAACAAAGAAATTGATGGTTCCACATTTCAAAATAAAAATGCCGATTACATTATTACAGCAGTTTATTCCTCTTAAATATCTGTGTGCATTGTGTCTGTCTTCTTTAGCTCTATCTCACAGGCATTTTATGACAATAGGATAAACCTTAAACTCAACCTAACTATGACAACCTGGTCCATCTGGCCTCTGCATAACATCTCAGACTCACTTCATCCACTCTGAATTCAAGCCTCAAAACCCTTTTTATGATTTGAGTCAACCCTGTTCCTTTGGGTTTTAGGGACTTTGCACATTCCATTCTCTCTGCCTGAAAAAACTCCTGTGGACTCTGACCCTACCTTCATATCCTTTGTCTCAATAATTTCTACTAAACTCACCAGATCTCCTTCTAAACGTCGATTCCACAGGCAGGTAACTTCATCCTGTTGTTCACACATATTATCTTGTACTTCCCCTTTACAGTGCTTATTACAACTACAGTTCACTAATGTTTAAAATATCTTTCTTCCCTTCTAGACTATAGATTCCTGGTGTTACATTATCACCACTGTGTCCTTGGTACCTGGCATGGTGTTAAGCAAATAGACCTTAAATACGTATTGAATAAAAGAAAAAAAAAAAGAAAGGGAGGGTGGGAAGAAGGAAGGAAGGAAAGAAAGAAGGAAGGAAGAAATGGAGGAAGGAAGGAGCAGTGATGATTAAAATTAAATTCACTGTAAATCAGTGATATTCCAGGCAGCACTGTGGAAAAAGGAATCTATGGATTGACTGGACAGAAAAAAGGCCTTTGCAGAAGGCTAGCGAAGTATTCTGTCTGGCAAAACATTAACACAGTGTTGGATCTCTAAAAGAAACCAGGATTTTTTTTAAGGTGATGATGATGACAGAAATTAGAAGGCTCTGTATTTCATCTGCAGTTTTCAGTAAGTCAATACGTTTCTAAATAAGGTAGGCAGACACAGGTGAGCCAATGGAAACCACAGTACCTCCATCTTTGGAAGCATTTGGCTGCCACTATTCCCAACTGAACTGCATGGACTATGTCAGCACACAGTGGCTCCAGCCTTTTCTGGTTCTTGGCAATATAAAACAGCCTGAATCAAAGGACAGGAAACAAACTAGATGTGGACTATTCTCCTCTGTGCACAAAAGTAGCCACTTGCCTCATGAAAAGGAAAGATGTGAATACATTGCCGCCTACTCAGCATATGTACAATGGGTGTAGCTCATCGTTTGAATCAATTTGCTCTGCAGTATCTGCTGAATTCCTACCATTACTCTCCAACTTTCTCATTCTGCCTTTATAACCACCCCACAAAAGTCAGCCCGGTCAGCTTCCCCAGGGATTTGTGTGTGTGTGTGTGTGTGTGTGTGTTAGGTCATCAGCAGAAGGAACTTGGCATCACAGTCACAATTAGACAAGTCAAGCCAGGTCAAAGAGAAAGGTCAGGTCAAGAGGAAATGGGAGATACACAGTGAAGGACACATTTCTTTAGAACTAGATTCATGGACATTTGCCAATTCTTCACAACTGCTTAGTGTGTGGAAGAATGCCAAAATGTGACAGCAAGAAATTCCCACAAATAAGAAAACAAAAGAGTCTTTCTACGAGGGCTTAATGTATGGAGAATAAAAACCAATTCAATTTGATGGCTTTAAATTAGAGGACAGATGATTGAGTGGAAAAGAGAAATATAGGTTTAAATTACGTGTACTGAAGAAGTATCCATACCACATAGAGCAAAGATGCTGCATCCAAGACGTAATATTCTAAAGTGCAGAGTATTTAAATCTTTCCAGTTATCCGAGGGAATGAAAGAATCAAATATACACACACAAATACAAATACACATTGATGTTATAAGGAAAGTAAGGGGAAACTTATATTCATAAGTATTTTGATGAGAACTCTCGACCATTGGACGACACTTTAGCTTCCAGAGTTTGTATTCTTATACTGATTGCTCTTGTCTACTTTTCTTATATGACTCTGAGCTGTTCACAGCATTGCCTGAGTCTTGATCACTTTCTATCACAAATCTACCCAACCTGCCAAGATATTTTCTGTATTATGAGCCATTTTCCTTTCTTCATAGTAATTGCTAACACCCAATCTATTTTTTAAATGTTTCAGTTCTTTAAATCTCCCCCAAGTCATGGTAAGCTCATCTTTCAGAGAAACAAAGGAAAAAACACTAAAAAAAATAGTCTTTAAATCTCTATTTCTTCCATGTTACTATGTGTCATTTGGAACTCTTGTCCAAACGTTCCACTTGTAGTAACTATTCTGTCTGCGTTTTGTTTCTCAAAGCATGAAGTCTGGCTTTGTATGTAGTTGACTTTGTTATTGCCCCTGATGCAATATTGTGCAGAC